GGGGGGGGGGGGGGGGGGGGGGGGGGGGGGGGGGGGGGGGGGGGGGGGGGGGGAGGGAGAGAGAGAGAGAGAGAGAGAGAGAGAGAGAGAGAGAGAGAGAGATCCATCTAGGGTTTATCTCCCGTCATCCATAAATGTTCTCCAGCTCCTCTCCTGGCCCAGCTTCCTTTCTTCCCCTGTGTGACTGACCCTGCGTCTTAGTTGTCATAGCACAATATTCTTTAAGATGTGTGTATGTATTTATCATTTGTGTGAGTTGTGTAATGCATGTGTTGGAGTGCCGGTACATGTAGTACAGTTTGTGTGTAGCGATCAGAGAGCAGCCTGCAGGTTGTGGGGATGAAACCCAGACTGTCAGGCTTCTATCTGCAGAACCATCTCCCAGACCATACAGTTCCATTTGAAATGAATGTTCTGCTGTCCGTGTTCCAGGATTTAATGGGCCTGGTTACAATAACAGCAAGTCATTGTTATAAATGAAAAGACAAATGAACATGAACAAAATTGAAACAGCCCATTTGTCCTTTTTCTGTGGTGAGGAAAGACAGGTGCCACATCTCAGGGTCCCTGTCCTGGAGCCTGAGCCCGTATGCGGAAGCACTGTCACAGTCTGCACAGGCGTGTGCTGTGGGTTCGGAGCAGTGTGGGGGGAGCTGAGAAGTCTGTTTTTTCCCAGGCCTTCTCTCCATGGCCAATTCTGGCCCAAACACCAATGGCTCCCAGTTCTTCCTGACCTGTGATAAGACAGACTGGCTGGATGGCAAGCATGTGGTATTCGGGGAGATCACTGAAGGCCTGGATGTCTTACGGCAGATTGAGGTGAGTGGTTGGAAATGGCTGCCTACCGGGACCGTGGGTGGCAGGCACCCCAGTGGGAGAGTTGGAGGAGTTCTCTATGGCTGTGGAAGGGGGCACTTGGAAGACGTCCCTATTGGGGGAGAGGGAAATCCCTGCGTAGCTCTCAGCCCTGTGCTTCTCGTGATTTCTCTGTTGTGCTCACAAAGGCTCAGGGCAGCAAGGACGGGAAGCCGAAGCAGAAGGTGATCATCGCTGACTGCGGAGAGTACATGTGACCATGTGACGCTGCGCTCGCTAGTCCCCACTCCTGCCAGGCTGCCGGGGCCTAGACAGTGCGCTACCAGTGTGTCCTGGGCTGACTAGAGCCATTTTATTTGCTAAAATAAACTATTTTTTGTACTGTTGCCTCTAGCGAGTTCCTCGGAGTTCTCCATGGCTGAACTGTGCCCTGGACGGGACGGCCAGTTTGTGAGGTGTAACGCCTTCCTGCGGTGTTTGTAGCCTTCCTGGGGCTAACTCCCTTTCTTTATGCCAGATGTCCTTGTCAGATCTCAGGGCAGCAGCAGTCACAGCTGCTTGTCTCTTGCCTGTGCCCCGAACTCATGCTGCCTGCCTGGTGCCAGCCTTAGTGACTCCAGTGTCCGCCTTTATGCTCCACTCTCAGGTGTTTAAAATGGTATCTTATGACTCAAAATCCAACTCTGCCAGATACTCCAAGTCTTCGGGTAGCCTGAGTGCAGAGTTCCTCGAGGACATTAGTCTTTTCCTCCCAGGGTGCTAACCTGATCCAGTGAACTAAATACTAATCTACCTGGAACGTACCTGCACAAGAATAGCTAGACTTGGCCCAGGCTGTAATTGACCCTGCTATGTTCTCCAGTCAGAGGTCAGCCTCAGTGAGCAGGAACCATCTTAGGATAGGCATTTGAAGCGAGGAAACAACAGTACTTAGGACTTGTTCTAGAACCAGGAGCGGCCATGTGTAAAGAACTTAGCAAAGAGTGCCAAGAGATGGGGAGTTACTGTCACAGTGACCTTTTCCACTGATAGCCGGAAGAGTTGAGGCCTGGAGGCAGCTGAGGACAGAGAGACATACTGGAACCCTTGAGGAAAGGTTTTGCTTGTTTGGCTTATACTTCATTTTTTTTTTTTTTTTATGTGCATTGGTGTAAGCGCGTCAGATTCCCTGAAACTGAGTTACAGGCAGGTGTGAGCTGCCATGTGGGTACTGGAAATTGAACCCAGGTCCTCTGGAAAGGCAGCTAGTGCTCTTAACCACTGAGCCATCTCTCCAGCCCCTATTTGGCTTATACTTCTACATCATATAGTTCATCATTGAGGGAAGTCAGGGCAGAAACTGAAACAGAAACCATGGAGGAACACAGTTTTCTTATACAGCCTGCTCAGGAATGGTCCTGCCCACATTGGTTTGGGCTTTCCTCCATTAAGAAAATGTCCCACAGGTGTGCCCATGTGCCAGTCTGATGGAGGCAATTCCTCATTGGAGGGTCCCTCTTCCTAGGTGTCAACTTGACAACTAAGATTAGCTGTCAGAAACCCTGCACAGATAAACCAAACCTCTGCCAAAGATCATCCAACTGGCAAAACGAAGTTGGGGTGGAGCTTGTCTTGCCTTGGCTATCGGCAGTAGCGTACCAAGCCTCAGTGTGCTGGGGTTTTCAGGGAAGACAGCTCTGGAAGGATAGCTGGGGCTGAAATCATGGTCCTCTGCCAGGCAGGAGTCCAGCATGGCTCTGGGGCCTGGGTGAGATCGCCCCGCAGCATAGCTGTGCTGTTTCCCATCCTCAGCATGCAACCCCTGCCCTGCTGCCCGCCACTGCATGGACCGTGAGCACCTGAAGGGGCCTCTTTCCTTAAGGCTCCTTGGCTTCTCTTCTGGGGTAATCTTGCCCACGACACTTCTGTTCCAGCTCCAAGACAGCAGTTTTATTTTTGTGGCTATTGCCGAGTTGTGTGCCTGCCTCTGATGGCTGCACAAAGGCAGAAATGAGGACTATGAATTTCCTTTAATGACAATGTTCGAATCCAGATGTCAAATCCACAACAGATTTTTCACCAGTTGGTCTCCTATGCCTGTCTGTGGCCAGAGGTTTAGTTACTGACATCCATAAATACACTAGGGTTCTGCTTGGTTGCTATCTTTGTTTTTTGAAAGATCTTGAAATATATTTTAGGCTGCCCTTGAACTCATGGTAATTCTACTCCAGTCTCCCAAGTACTAAGTGTATATCACTATCCCTGGCTTTCCCATGTTTTTTTAATAACCCTTCTACAGAAATCTGGTTTTATACCTCCAGGGCACAGGCTATGGAGTAATGGAGGGAGTTGTTCATGTCTGCACACACCTAAGGCCTCTGGTGGATACTAAAGAGCCCGAGGTCCATTTAGTGCTCCGTATTCAAATCAGGCTGAGCCAGTAGTCATCACGAATAGGTGGGTAAATTAGATTTCTGTGCCAATCCCAAAGGACATTTAATAGATGCTCCTGGGGGAGGGGTGGAGACGGCCTGTTGCTTGGGGACTCAGGTAGGTCAACAGGATTATAACCAGGACCATCTTCCCACCCTCGGGCAGAGGAAGGGAACAGAGGGGCCAGGAAAGGGCCAAGCCTGTGAAAGGGCAGAACATGGACCTGAGTTGAAAGCCCCCACCTTCCACCTTGGCCTTGGATCTGATAGGATCTATTAATTTCATTTCCTGGTCAGAGGGGCTAACCAGATAAACAGGGTGACGGCAGCAGGCTGCGGACTCAGTGGCAGCCGCAGGCCTGGACCACCATGTTGTGCTCCTTGCGCAGGATGACGTTGTTGCTGCTGTCGTAGTAGAGCACAGAAATGGCACTCAGCTCGGTGGGAACACAGCACACCTTGGGGACGACTTCTGGCTTCATCAGGTGTATCTGTTAGGGAGGGGGATGCAGATAGGAACGTGAGCCTGGTGGTCCCAGCTCCCACCCACTACAGTCCAAGGTCATGTTCCCCTGCAGCTAGAGGGGTCCCTCCCTGCACTGCCCTGCCCACTCCCCTCCAGACAGCCAGGCACCTGACTTGGAGGACGGATACACGAGCCCTTTGGCTCTCTCAGCCCCTGGTCCACTGTCACCTCCACTTCTGCCAATACTCAGGCTTACTGGTCCCCAGCACTGGGTGCCATGGGTCATCTTCTGGGGCCTCACTGCTCCGAATAGCTCTCTGCTTTACTACATCCCCACCAGGGAGGTGTCAGCTATGGAAGGGGCAGCCTCCGTTTGCAGCCTGAACTAGAAGAATTGCTGGTACAAATTCAAGTACTCTTTAAGTTCAAGGACTCTTTCCCCTGCTTGCTGTAGCTCAACCTCAACCTCGGAGGCAAGGCTGTCTTTGCAGGTGCTAAGCAGGTTGTATGGCTGTCTGATGGTGGCACTGAGCTTGAAACGGGCACCAGGCTGAGCATCTTTCAGGACAGTGGCTCCAGGCATCCAGCAAATACCAGGACCCTTTGTGAAAGGACACCTTAATAATGACTTAAAAATGACTAACCATGATGTCCACTCTAGAGCAGTGGTTCTCACCCTTCCTGTTGCTGTGGTCCTTTTAATACAGTTGCTCATCTTGTTGTGACCCCAGCCAACAAGTTACTTCATTGCCTCTTTGTGACTGGAATTTTCATACTGTTAGGAATTGTGGATATCTGGTGTGCAGGATATCTGATGTTTAACCCTAAAGGGGTTGTGACCCACAGGTTGAGAACCTCTGCTCCAGCGCATCATTTGGCACAATTGTCTATTAGGTAAACAAGGCCAGGGGCACTGGGTGCTAGGATTCTAGACAAATGTTCTGGTAGGAAGTCTTAACACCAGGCTCCACAAGCACAAATAGACGGCAGTTGTTACTGCCTTCCTGCTAGCAACTTCTTCCATCACTGAATGGCCCAGAGCAGCCAGGAAAGAAGTGGGGAGCTGGTCCAGGAGGAGCCAAGTCCCCAAAGAGCTGAGGGTTCGTGAGTCACCCCGTCAGGCAGGATGGCTGAGCCCACAGAACATCAGAGAGGACAGATCTACCAGGATACGCAGGGCACTTGGGGCAAGGCAGCCCCCAGTGGGCACCCATGTGTGTGTGCATGCCTCAGTCTGACTTCAGAGGCTGTCAGTCTGGGCCCCACACAGTCCACAGGTTCCCACCCAGGCATGGGCAGTGCATGTGTGCTCAGGTGTCTGTGCAGACACACCCATGTGAGCAACATTCACTGAGGGCCAGAAACCAAACTGCATGACAAAGACTGCAGAGAAAGTTCCCACCCCCAGGCCTGTCCCAGTCCCTTGGACCCCAGGAAGGTCACTGTGATACTGACCAGGGCCTGCATGGTGGCGTGGTTGGTGGAGTTCATTCGGTGGCCCAGTGGGTAATTGCACTCCCCCTCGCAGTAATAGGCTGAGTAGCCTTGGGGGGCGATGACCCAGTCCTGTGGGAAGGGGAAAGCTGAGTCACATCAGCGTGTCCTTCCAAGACCACTGGCGCAATTCCTGTCGCAGGGTGACCTGAGGCTGTGAACCCTCATCCCCTCAGCAGGCAGGGTGCGGCGGCAGCCCTGTCCTCCAGGCCTCACCCTCCTCGGCTGTGTCCCCCACGGCTGCCCCCACGCCTCCTGCAGCAGCTGTGGCAGGAAGAGCGCAAAGGCCCCCCCACCCAGCCTCAGTTTCCCCATTTTAGCGCTGACAGCTTACTGGGCAGAGGGCTCAGGTGGCCTCCGTTTTCACAGTTAAAGGCACAGTAGCTCCACCCCTCCCTGGAGACACCAGGCTCTTCAGGTGGCTTTCAGAGAGGAGAAGCAGACATTACCAGCCAGCCGAGGTCCCGGAAGCTGACGTAGAGCTCATGCCTACGGCAAACATCTCTGCCTTGGGAGCTGTGGCCATCATCTGCAGGGACAAAACGGTACCAAGTCTATACCGTGCCTGACACAGCCCACCCTCCCTGCCAGGCACAGCCTACCCTCCCTGCCTGGCACCCCACAAAGGTCAAGGGACTCTAATAAGACATAGTTGACAGACTGGAAGGACTCGGCCTGTAAAGGAAGCTTCAGTCGGATCCCAGCCTGGCCCTCACCAAAGATTCCTAGGTGTTTATTCAAGTGCTGCGTCTGGATGGTTTTATTTAGCTGCCTCTTCTTCCTTTGTGGCCTCACTACCCGAGGGGTCCGCACAGGGTTCCGGCTGGCTCTGAAGAAACCAACCATGAAAGGCTGTCTGGAGCGTGGTGCCTGTTGTCCCAGCAGACCTGCCAGACCAGGATCCATGCTGTGCCCTGGGAGATGGAGACAGAGATGAGAGAGAGAGAGAGAGAGAGAGAGAGAGAGAGAGAGAGAGAGAGAGAGAGAGAGA